AATGTTCAATCAATTACAGAAGGAATACATGCTCACTGTTGAAAACGAGGCAAATAAAAACTGTAACCATGCTATTATAAAATTTTAGTCTTTTTTCTAGGTTTTTTCCTACACATGCTTAACTGGGTTCAATCATTTGTCTAAATTAAAATTTCCCACTTTACTGTAATACGACATTCAAATTATATAATTCCTCCAATTATTATAAGTACCTAATAAACATAATATTTAATGATGGCATATCTTGATTCTCAATTCGAAACTTCAAAACGAAACTTCAGCATATGAGTTTGCCTAACGAACTCTGCCTAGATTAACTTTCATTTCTTATTTCTTCCAATTCTCCAAGTAACCAGATCTCTCTCTCTCTCTCTCTCTCAGGCCATTTTCTTGCTTTTGGTTTCCAAAGTTCTCATTTTATTAAGCCCAAAACATAAAAAACCAAGAAGTATATACAGTGCTTTTATAATACCCTGAAAAACTAGTAAAACACCTTAGACAGAGCCCTTAAAATCAGACTATTAGAAATAGCAGAGATTCAGAATTATGCTTCTTGCTAAAGATGCTTGATCTTTTTCTACTACATATTAATCTGTTACTAGCATTCTGTCTCCAAGAGTGAAAACAAAGGAATGTACTCAGATTATTCCTAAGAGACTCTCTGTTGGACAAACTGAACTGTTCCTAATTAATTTTAACTATGACAACCTCTCCCAAGTACTGAAAACTTCAAATCATTTTCCAGAATAGCTTGATATCCCTCAAAGAAGAACTAGATTTCCTGAGTATACTGAACTATAATTACAGCAAAAAGAAAAATAATCATTAATGTGCCTTTCCCATAGTAGAAACAAAAATATGTCATGTTGAGTAAAATACTCCTTTTCTGCTTCTGAGAACAAGTAATTTTCAAACTCTGTCCTGTATTTTACTGTCACAATTGTTAAACTAGACCACTAAGGTGATATGTTTATTAGCAGACATTGTGTACATTTTTAAAAAATAAAACTGAAAATAAACACCAGAAACTGAAATTATGGGAGATTTTTTTTTTCTAATTTCCAAATTTTCCATAACATAGTTATATAATTCTTGTAATTTAACAAAAAAGCATTAAAAGGAAAAGTATTTTTATATCATTTATATACTAGGTTTCTTTTTTAAAGTCCCTATTTAAGGACTTTTTTATTATTTTAAAAAGAATCTTTGCTAAACTAAAACAAGAAAAGATCATCAAAAAGCAGAAGTACTGAAAGATTATTTAAAATACTCATATCACATCATATCTAAATAAAATAAAACCTTATCAAGAGCACTAGTTGTACACACACAACTGTATCAAGATACTATGAAAAGAACTGGAGATTTAGAGGTAAAAGGCATGGCTTATATCCTCAAGCTTACTACCTAATTAAGACAGCAGGACATATACTGAAAAAAAGAATCAAAAATACAAGGGAGTGCTGGACATGCCAAGCATATAGCACACAGAGAAGTACAGTAAAATAGAGAGTTTTTGAAGTCTTACAAACCTCAGTTCAATTCTTAAATCTGCCACTTACCAGCTTCCCTAATCTGTAAAATGGATTATTAGATTAAGTAACATCCTTGACATATAACAACATCCAAAGATAAATTAACAGTATTATTATTATTAGGAATGCAAGCATTAGAGGAAGAAACAGACAATTGGAAAAGTTTAAAAAGAGAGACAAGCCTGTAATCCCGCGCCTTGAGAGGCTGAGGTGAGTGGATTGCCTGAGCCCGCGGGTTCTAGACCCACCTAGGCAACTTGGCGAGACCTCATCTCTACAATAAAATCAAAAAATTAGCCGGGTGTGGTAGCGCACGCCTGTAATTCTGGCTACTTGGAAGGCTGAGGCAGAAGATCGCCGGAGCCC